GTGTTCGAGAAGTTTCTTGAGTTACGGGAAGCTCCACGGCCGGGAAGCATAGGTGCTGACATCGGCTGGTGGTAGCAATAAGACACTCGATAACGTTCAATTGTATCGAGAGACGATCTTAGTGCTTACCGATGATCGTATATGGACCAAGGAGACTTTACGATTATGTTGACGCGGTCGATATCTATGAGTAACGCGGCCGATATTCGGAAGCGAAAGAACGATATTTTACGGAATCACGATGGAGGCAGCCACTCACTTTACGATACTTCGACTTAAGGACAACCTGAGGCAACGAAACCTACCGGTGACCGGATCAAAGTTAGAATTGATAGAGAGACTTATGGAAGCCAAGCCTGACGGGAACTGGATGAACGAGGATAACCCCAATCAGGAAGAGGAGACCGAACACGATGAGCCTGAGGTCGGAAGGTTAGAATGTGAAAAAAATGAATTGTTGCGTCAAGAACTCGAGATCACGAGACGAGAACGAGACGTAGCCCAACGGGAAGCGGCGATAGCTCAACGAGAATTGGATTTAGTGAACGAAAGAAACGACCACAGACATCAGCATGCAGCGGCACCCGCCTCACCATCAAAATTGCGCGCAGATGTTAAGGGCATCGGAGAATTATTAGGCGAATTTGATGGCTCGAACCGATATTTCGAGGATTGGGAAAAGCAAGTCCGACTCGTGAAGACGCTTTTTACTGTCGACGACGCAATTATGAAAATAATTATTAGTTCCAAACTAAAGGGAAAGGCAGAAAGATGGTTCCGTTCGAGATCAGAGCACACGGAGATGACGCTTGATGTATTACTTTCGGCAATGAAAGACGGATTCGACCAACGACCAAGCAGAGTGGATCGTCTTAAGAAATTCGAGGCCAGGACGTAGCAGCCGAGTGAATCATTTTGTAATTATTATCACGAAAAACTTATTCTAGGTAATCTAGTGCCAATCGAGGAAGACTTACTAGAGTATCTGATGGAGGGGATACCTGACCAAACGCTTCGGAACCAGGCGCGAATGCAGAACTACAGTACGATAAAAGACTTGCTGGACGGATTTCGCAAGGTTTCCTTTTCGAATCGGGTGAAGAAAGATCTGCAGCACGGGGATAAATCAGCTGTGGATAAGCCAGTAGAGAAGATAAAATCGGAAGCTAAACTACAAAAAGCAGCAAGCAAGGAAGAGATTGGTGGAAAGCCGATTAAATGTTACAATTGTAACAAGCTGGGTCACATTTCAAGAGATTGCCCAAAACCACAGCGAGAACGAGGCTCCTGCTACAATTGCGGTACTATGGGGCACGTAACGAAGAATTGTCCGACGAAGGAAACGAGGGAAGCGAAGGAAACCAAGGCGGAGAAGGCGCAGGTAACCAACGTGTACGGAGATCCGGACGAGGAGGACGACGTTGAGCACAGAAGAGTGGTGACATACGAAATAACGAACTGTAGTCCGAAACGAATATTATGTTTAGATACACTTTTTGATACGGGCAGCCCTATTAGTTTTCTGAAGGAACGATTTGTTGAGCGATCAGGGCTTCTCCCATTAGATGCGTCGGATCGTGAGTATTTCGGGTGTAAAAAAGCAAAGATAGAATTCTTAGGGAAGGTTTATGCGGCTATTTCTATTGAAAATTGTTCGAAAAAAAATATTAGAATGTATGTGGCACCGGAAGACACCACACTGACGCCAGCTTTACTAGGTAGGGATACACTGTCCAAATTCGGTATTAAATTGACGAAACCGACTGACGAGGACGCTTGGCAAGGAACGGGTATTAACGCTATCGAGATCAGTCATGATTTAACAAATGATTTACAGATAAACCCGGCCATGCCATACGAAACGAAAGACGAGTTAAAACAGATTTTTCGGGAGGTGTATGTAGATTATCCAAGGTCGCCAGAGCCAAGGACGAGAACGGAATTAACACTACGACTAAGCAACTCGCAACCGTTTCATTGTGCTCCGCGAAAACTCGCCTACGACAAACAACAGAAACTCAGAATAATTTTAGACAGGTTGTTAGAGAAAGGGTATATACGGAATAGCGATTCTGAATTTGCATCACCTATAGTCTTAACGGAAAAGAGAAACGGAGAACTACGTATGTGCGTAGACTATCGAGTTCTTAACAAAGCGACTGCACGAGATAATTATCCTATGCCTCTTATCGAGGATCAATTAGCGATTTTGAGGGACAAAAAGTATTTTTCGATACTAGATTTGAAGGACGGATTCCACCATGTTCGAGTTGCAAGCAAATCGGTTAGGTATACGTCGTTTGTGACTCCTTTAGGCCAGTTTGAATGGTTACGAATGCCTTTCGGGTTACGTACAGCGCCAGCGACGTTTCAGCGTTATATGAATCTTGTGTTGACGGAATTCATAAGATCTGGTGATATGACAGTATATATGGACGACATATTGATAGCCACTGAGACGATAGAGCAACATTTAGAGACGTTGGCACGAGTTTTTAAAACCCTTTCGGAGAATCTTTTAGATTTACGGATTGATAAGTGTCATTTCCTTCAAACTGAGATAGAATATCTCGGGTATATGATTTCGGAACAGGGTGTAAAACCAACTCGAAGAGGTACTGAGGCCGTTGAGAAATTCCCGATTCCTAGGAGTACACGCGACGTTCGTAGTTTTCTCGGACTCTGCTCCTACTTTAGGAAGTTTATAGAACATTTCGCATTAATTGCTAAACCCCTTTATGATTTAACAAAAGCAGATGTGACGTTTAGATTCGGGAAAGCGGAATATGATTCGTTTATGACACTTAAAACTAAACTTGTGGAAGCTCCAATATTAGCGGTGTATAATCCCAATGATCCAACCGAATTGCACTGCGACGCAAGCTCCATTGGTTACGGAGCGGTTCTTTTACAAAAGAAAGCAGACGGAAAAATGCATCCGATATTCTATTACTCTAGACGTACGACAGAAAGTGAATCGAAATTGCACAGTTTTGAACTCGAGACTCTCGCGATAATTTACGCCTTGGAACGATTTCGAATTTATCTTCAAGGATTAAAATTTAAGATTATGACCGATTGTAATGCGGTTACGATGACGCTGAAGAAGAAAGATGTAAATCGTCGAGTCGAGAGGTGGGCAATTGCGTTGCTTAACTATGATTATGAATTAGAATATCGAGCGGGTGCACGTATGCGTCACGTGGACGCTCTTAGCAGGACAATCGGTGTTATAGAAGAAAACCCATTTGAATGGGATATCTCGATATGTCAAAGACAGGATCCTACTATTGTTGAGATCTGTGATAAATTGGAAAAGTCTGAAGACAAATTTTACGAAATTAGAAACGGACTCGTTTACCGTAAATATAAGGATAAGTTGTTATTTTATGTACCGGAACCAATGATTAGAAACGTTTTGTTTAAATACCACGACGAATTAGGACATGTAGGTACCGAAAAGACGGCTCAAGCAATACTGGAAAATTATTGGTTCCCTAAGCTTCGTGAGAAGGTAAACAGTCATGTAAGGAACTGTCTTAAGTGTATTACATTTTCTCCCATTAGCGGGAAAGTCGAAGGGCTAATTCACCCTATTCCTAAAGGCGACGTTCCTTTCGGTACCTTACACGTCGATCACCTGGGACCAATCGATAAGAAACGATTGATCAAGCAACATCTATTGGTCGTGATAGACTCTTTTACGAAATTTGTTAAACTTTATCCGACTAAGACGACTGCTAGTAAGGAGGCGATCAGCTGCCTTCAGCAATATTTCGAATATTATTCGCGACCGAAAACGATAATTACGGATAGGGGTACTTGTTTTACGAGTTCCGAATTTAAAGACTTTATGAGCAGTAATGAGGTCGAGCACGTTAAGATTTCGACAGGATCACCACAGGCGAACGGCCAGGTGGAGAGGGTCAATCGGACTCTAACTCCAATGTTAGCTAAACTGTCAAACGACTCCGAAGGCAAGCACTGGTATAAAGTAGTCACGAAGGCCGAATATGCGTTGAATAACTCAGTTAGTAAAGCTACGGGTGAGACACCAAGCCGATTATTGTTCGGTGTACCACAACGTGCGAAAACGATGGATAATTTACGCGAGTATCTACAAGGCGAGATTGAGTACGAACGACCGGATATCGAAGAAAGCCGAGGACGGGAATCGGATCGAATTCTGCGATCACAGACGTATAATAAGGAATATGCAGATGGTAAACGTAAAGAAGCGCGCGAGTATTCGGTAGGCGATTTAGTTTCGATTAAGAATTTTGACAGCACGACCGGAACATCCAAAAAGCTCAAGCCAGTGTTCAAAGGAACTTATAAAGTAGTAGAAAGGCTAGGTAACGATAGATATCGGATTACTGACGTGGATGGATTCCAAAATACTTTACGGCCTTACAGTGACATTTGGCAAGCTGTAAATTTGAGGCCATGGCGAAAAGAGTAAAAATGTAATTGCGTTTTGAATCAAGCGAGATTCAACTTCATTTAGATATATGTTAAGAAAATTATTATACTTTAGTTAGTCATGTACGGTTAAGTTAGACATATTCTGCCAGGGACGGCAGATGGTCAGGAATGGCCGAATGTAGCGGTTATACGAGATTTTATTTTTTGTTTCCCCCCGACGGCCGACGTGTGGCGACAGTCAGTCAGTCGTCGTGCGAGCTACCGGCGAGACGCCACATTGTTCTTGTGTGTGTGTTCAGATATATTAAAGATATACATCTTACTCTCGGGTCCTCAAGTTATTACCTACGCAGAACCGTGTCGAACAATCCCTGACAACTCCTTGTAGGACCCCATGCCCTACAATAGTTTTTAAATAATATTTTATAGCTTTGTCTAATAATTTGCTTTTATATCACAGTTAAACATTACAAAAATTAAAAATTAAAATTAAAAATTAAAATTTTTCCCCATGTTTTAAATAATACTTTTTCCATTTCCAAAATAAAAATTTCACAACTTTTTTCATTTACTAATACAGATATAAATCATCAGATGCTTTTACTTTATTTTTACTTTTAGTGTGAGTTATCTTTCTGTACATATTTCTCAAATAACGTCAAAATGTTTTTTGCATTTTTATGTTTTCGTCATGATGAGCTTTTCTTTGTTCGCAGAGTGTTTTTACCCATCTAGGTTCATCACTTTGTCGGCGTTTCCTAATATGACGTCTTGTACTATAAGAAGTATTGACTGCTGCTGAATTATTTTCGTCGGTAGATGATGCCTCGTTTTGTTCTGTAGACGTATTTGATTGTCTTATTCTAAATCCATGTGTACTAGAAGCAATTGATATAGGTGCTACTTCGGGTTTAGTGTTAATGATTTCATCAATCATGTCAAAGTATTCCCAAGATTGTCTAGCTCTACCAGTTTGATTATTAAGATCTCGTACACTTGTATATTTTCGCTTCAAATTCTTCCATTTAATATTACATTGTTCCTCTGTTATGTTGTATCCTCTTTCATTGAATTTATTTGCTATGCTTTTCCATACTTTTTTTGCATATAATTTTTATTATTTAATAATACTAAATGGTTTCTAACTTCTTCTATTAGAAGTTTTGTGGTCTCCTTAGTCCATTGATATTTACCATTTCCTGTAAAGAACAAAATTATTAAATTGTGCTATAATATATATATTGAAGAAAGAATTATTTTTGCAAAGTATAAATATGTATATAAATATATATGTATATACATATATTTTTGGATAAAATAATTGTATATACATATTAATATTATAAAATTTAGTTAAATTATTAGTTATTATTTACTTTTATATAGACATCTAAATATACATATAAGTGATTCTGAGTCATTACCTATAATATAAAGAATGTATCAAAATCGAAATCATTCTACAATGTTAATGTATATAAAGTAAATAATTTTATGAAACACTCAAAAATTTCTTGGTAGAATTACACAAGCCATGCTGTAATTAGAGTATAAAACATTTATTTTTTAATGAAGTTGTTTATTGTTTTCATCGATATTATTTATAAATGATATAAACATCAGAACATAAAACATTATGAGTAGTTGAGCATTAAAGATTAAAAGCACAAATAAGATGTATAAACAACTTTATAGGAAGAGAGTTTTACACTCTAATTACTCAGAGACACTTATATATTAAGATTAAAGGATTAAGATGTCTAAAAGTAAATAAAAACTAATAATTATTTTATGTCTTAATATGCGCCACATAGCACAGATGCTTTTTTTTTGTAACGCAGGGGAATCCTTTATGGATACCCGGGTCTCGGAGTGTCCTGTTAAGGAGCCTCCCTGGGGATGGGACCCGGGTTATGTGGGACTGCCCTCCTAATGTCGATCGGAGTGCACCCGGCGAACATGCCGGGTGCGCGGCATACCCACTAAACCCCTGCGGCGGTCTGCGCTGTGCTTTGACTTGGGGGGCGGACGGGGATTGACTAGTCATTACTTCCGCACCGCCCCCCGCACGTGGCCCGCCGTTGTTACTGGCGGGCCTCAGCGCTTCCCGCCTCCTGGGAGGGGGGTGGGCCCCATCCCTCATCTCACAAGGAGATGAGCGATAGGGGTCCCCTTCTCCTGATGGGATGCAGGGACCGCGCCTGCATCCCAACCTTCCCTGTGGGTTGTGACATGAGGGAGGGGTGTCCCCACACTCTCCCCTCCAACCCACAGAGGTCCCCCCCGGGCGCCGGAACATGGGGGTGCCCTCACACATCCCCCCCACCCTCCCGCGGGGTCCGCCACCCCGCCACCGCTTCCCACCCCGGTCGACGGCGTCGGGGGGGAGAGCGGGGCGGCAGCGCGGGAGTGCAATACACGCCCTCGGACCCTCTCCGCCACCCCTCGTCCCCCCCTCTAACGGGCTATCCCTTGCCCGGCACTGGGGGGAGGGGAGGACGCCGTGTCCGTCCCCTCACCCCCCGACGCAAACCCCCCCAAGGGGGTCTGCCA